CTTTCCATGATCCGCTTGTTGCGACGATTGCCATTATGTCCCTACCTAGGTTGAGTGACACATGCTGGCCTAGGTGCTCCATCTTTTCCTCCTCAATCCATCTTAGTAAGGCTGCTAGATTTTCATAATCGATTAGGAACTTGGTGATGTTTCCGCCATCGAAAGTCAGCTTTTTCTTGGCGTCGGCCAAGTATCCCTGGTTTTTGCTTAGAGCACGCGTGAGGGACGACACCACCTTCCTAAGCCCTCCCTCAATCATCCCGGGTCCTGTTGCGGAACTCGGACTGGCGCCTTCCTTGCTAAAATCGAGTTGCCCTTTTGGCTTTGCAATCCCTTCCGGGTCAAACCATCCTAGCACCCTTTCCCTCAGGCTCCAGAGTCCCTCGCATCCTCTTGCACTTACAGGCGACGCCGAGGGTCGGCTTGCTCTGCTGTCCAGTAGGGGTGGATTGACTGGTCTATCCCTATCCTCCCTAAGGAATTTTATTCCTTCTTTCCCTTTCCTTGTTGGGGTGTCCCTCGTGTCTCTGGGCCAGTCCTTCCTGTGTTGTGCATCCCCATCCTGGCTTCCTTGCCCGAGGTCCAGTTCCCCTTCTTCCCACGTCCTGTCATCAGCGACATTTTTCTCGGCATCGTTCATGATCTCTTTCAATAGTTTTGCCCTGTATTCTGTCGTGCGTCTCTCTACTTCGGCTAGCTTTCTCCGTGCATCCGTTAGCCTAACCTTTTTCGGCTCCGTCCCCTCGGGCTGCTGACGAGCCGGACTCTCCCTGTCTCTGACTTCCTTGGTTCCCGGAGTCCCCCGTTTACTTCCCCTGCTCTTTCCTGAATCTTCCCCGGGCACAGCGTCCTTGCTCCTCTCCCTGTTTCCTAGTGACTTTGCCGACCCCCGATCCCCTAGGTCCTGCTCTTCTTGATCTACGTCATCCTCTACGTCCTGATTTCCGTCCCTCAATTGACTTCCAGCCTCGTCTCCCGTGGCCATGTTTTCCTTCCTCTAGCCCTGTGATATGGAAGAAGGGGAAAAAATAAAATAAAATAAATTGCAACCGCACATAATTCTCTTAGCCTTTAGAATTGCCTATTTTTCACCCCTTTTTGCTCTTCCCTTTGCTTATCCTAGGTATCTTGGCCGCACCTTTGGTTGCAACGGCGTCTCTTCCCCCCCCTTTTTCTGGCATGTGTTCAACCCATGGTAGACCTGGTCGCGGCCATCCAATCGGTTCTTTTATACCTATTTTTCTTTCCCTTTGGTTCTTATTTCTACCATCTTTCCCGACATCTTTCCTATGCTGGCTCTTCCGGTCTCTCCCTCTCATCCGATTCCTCAAATAGTCTTGCCACCCCTGCGAGATAGTTCTCTCCCATCTCGATCTCCCTTATGATTATTGGCTCGTATTCCTCAAACGACAGACGGGGCGTTCCGAATATCAGGATCTCAAGAAGTTCCAGCAATTCCCGCGCCCGATTTCCCCAGAACGGCCCGTGCCTTACTGCCACGTCATAGAACATCCCCGTGGCCTGTGGTGAGAAGTAGCGTTCCCAGATTACGGTTGAATTCACCAGGTCCCTTGCCCGCGCGAGACTCCCAAAAACCAAATCAACCATGAACCGGGGCACCCGACAGCGCAGTCCCGACATAGGGGCCCTAAAGTCTCGCCATCCCCCTACTTCTACTCGCGTTCTTAATCCCACATTCCGTCTTCCCCTAACCTCATGGCCTATCCGGTTCAGGACCCCGACTGCCCTCCGAAACACTGGTAACAACCCATGCCCCAAGGCCAGTCCAGTTCCCAACATTTGCCACCCGATTTCTGGGAAATATAGAGTCCCTGTCACCCTGAGGTCAGTATATAAGTCGTCTCCTGGCCCCCGATCGAATCTCATGCCACCCCATAGGCATTCGACTTGCATGAAAGCCTGATTCCGTCCTAGGGTCACAGCCCGCCATTCCGTATCTATCCCCCGGACAATGTAGCTTGCCGGGAGTGACACTTCCCATCCGCCTCCGGTTTCCATGGGCGGTTGCGGGTGCATGTCCCGCCGGTTTGTACGGACGCGTCTTGCCGCCATGGTTGGCGAATATCGCCTTGCATTCACCACGCACAAAAAAAAAGGGAAAAAGGGAAAAGGAACCTCTCTTTTTAGTTTTCTTCAAGCCCCCTTATAGCCCGATCCCGCTGATCTACCTTCCCCCTTGCTTTTCTTTTCTGCCCCCCTACTCTTCTACCCCCTCGAACAGCCGGCGGACGTCGTCGACATACGTCAGCCCGCATCCTATCTCGCACCTAGCTATCTCCCACACGACTTCCTCGGTTACCGTCGGTATTCCAGGTCTAGTGCCCACTACGGCCTGTAGAATGTTTAGCACCTCGTACTCCTGCTCCTCATCGAACGGCCCTAGTTCCAGAAAGGCCCGGTAGTATTCTCGATATACGGTCATGTTACTAAAACTCAACCTACCCAGGACTATTACTGCCATCTCAGCACATTCTACCCCTCCCATTCGCTCAAGCAAAAAGGGTGGCAAGACCATGCGCACATTTTCATAAGGCAAGATACTAGCTCCTACCTCGACCACCCGGGCGGTCGCCGTCACGTCATCCCGGTCCGGGTTGGCGAACGCAAACCCTTCCCTCCAGGTCACCTGCCACGCCCCGTCAAACATCCGTACAGGGTCACCGCCATCCGCCAAGGCCACCCCGAAGGTCCGCCATCCCGCCTCCGACAAGTATAGGGACCCTGTCGCGCGCACCCGTCCTGGCAATTCTAGGTTGGTGCCCCCAAACTCACCCCTTGCGCGCCATTCTAGTTCCACCACCAGGTACACCGTGTCCTCTACCAGTTCTACCCCAACCCAGTCCATCACCGGATTATACACCCCGCSCCTGGAGGGCAGGCTAACCTCCACCCTTCTATCCAAGAAACGTGGCGGCAAGATCCCTCGCGGCCGAGTTTCCCAAAGCGTCATACGCCTAGCCATCTCTCGTTACCTGCTCCCGCTCCTCGCTCTTGATTTCTGCATGCACCACGTTAATCAAGTTCCCTTAGTTCTCGTCTTCTCCCCTTGTCCCCTAGTTACCCTAGCCTCCCCCCTCTCTATTTCGGCCCCCCCCTTCTCTTGTGTACACTACCCCTTCTTTTAATGTACAATGCCCTTTCTTTTCCCAGTCAATCCCCCCTATTCCCCTGTCTTCCCAGGTTCGTATTCAAATCCATAGGACCTCAAACAGCAAGAAGACGTCCCCTACATACGAGGGCGCTGCGGCTATTTCCCGACGGAGTATCGCCTCCTCAACTTCCTCTCCTACCTCTAGTTGGTAGTCCTTAAGTTCCTTCAGGATCTCGACCACTTCCTCAGCCTGGTCCCCGTGAAACGGCCCGAATCGCAATGACGGCTCGTAATAAGCGTCTGATAACCAGGCGAAGCCTATCTCTACCTCGTCCATGGATTCCGCTACGGCGCGGATATGTTCGTACCCTCCGAACCAGTCTGCAACAAAATGTGGCACCCTCACCTGGACTAACTGGTAGGGGAGCCTAAGGTCCTCCCAACCCCCCCATCACGACCCTGCTTCCCACTTCATCCCACCCCTCATTTGCAAAATCCTGCCCCATTTCCCAAGTTAACCGCTCGGCATCCTCTAAAATCCACATCGGGTCTCGTCCCGCCGCTAGGTGCGTGCAAAACATATACCACCCATTCTTCGAAAGGCACACCGTCCCAAGTGCTTCCACGTTCCCCTCGGCTATTTCATCCCACGCCTCATTTTCTTGAACCGGATCCCACACCCGTTCTACCCACAAAAAGGACAGTCGGTACCATCTCTACTCCCACCCAGTCGCAGGCCGCGCCGCGCCACTTGTTCCTTGTTGGCAAGACCATCTCTACCCCGCCCTCAACCCTCCTAGGTGTCCATCCTCTAAACATCCGCGCCCACAAGCTTTGCTCCCTTGCCATCCTTGATTCCCTGCACACCCCCGCGCGACCCAACCACTCCGTCCTCAGCCCCCCCTTTTCCCTAGAAATCCCATTCCTCGATTTCCATCTCATCCTCCTCCTTGGAGTCATTTTCGTTCTCTTTCGGCCACAGGTCCCGTACACCCTCCAGAAAGATTTCCCCTACCGCAACATTCCTGTAAACTATCCGCCAGTGCACGTTGCTTGGGACGAACAGGCCGTCTGTGCTGAGATGGTTTAAAATCTCGGCCAGTTCCCTTGCCCAGTTTCCCTCGAAGGGTCTCATTTCGACCGACAGCCGGAAGAAATCCTGGCGGGCTCCCTGGTGCAACCCCACTCCGGCCATGGCCCTGCATATTCGCACCAACCTACTCCGGGTTCCAAAGACGGCGTCAACCATGAAGGGCGGCATGACACACCTTAGGGCCCTGTATGGCTTCCGCACGTTTTCCCTATCCCCAAGTTCTACCCGCACATCAACCGATTCCATCGTCATCCCCACTCGTTGGCACGCAGCCCACACTACTTCCCGCTCGGCCTCCCTGAACAGTTTGTACGGAAGTTTCCCCAAGGCGAGTTCGACAACCATCGCAGTCTCCCTCTCCTCTGACAGGTAGATCCATCCCCGGGCTTCCACGGTCCCCCGGAACTCTAAGTCAAATAGGCACAGCGTTATCCTGGTCAAGGTTACCTTAGTCCACATCGTTTCAATCCATAGGAAGGCATCACTTTCGGCCAGCATTACGGTTTGATAGGTCGGCTCCAGGTCCGTCCACGTTCCTTCCTCTGGCATTACAACTGATACCCCACTCTTCACATCTACTGGCATCTCTGGTCCATCTGAGTAGGTTGGCGACGCCAGCCACTGCCCCATCCTGCCTTCTTTATACCGGTGGTCAAGACCTGTTTCGTCCAATGAGCGCACCAATCGGCCCTCGGGTTAGGTCCACCATTATCCTAGATGAGCGTTGTTTTAGAGACCCCTCATAAAGGTCTCCCTAAAGTTCTCTGCCCGTCCTCCAAGCATATCAGCCAGCGCCACATCCCTAACCAGTCCCCCCCCCCCCAATCGATCACCAGTGGCTCGCATTCCTTCTTCTTGGTTCCACTTTCTTCCGACTCCTATCCAACCTCTTCCTCATGTTCTCTCTCTCGTGCGGACTCAGACTTGGAGGTGAGAATAGACTTAGAAGCTCGGTCCCCGTCCAACGTTCATCCGGCAACTTTACAGAGGGAGACACAAAAGCAAAACCAGGCAAACGTCGCACACAGGTCGGTCATCTCCTCACCGACCTTTTTCCCAGAAATGGTCTCTCCACTGTTACTATAGGCAGGGTTTTCAGCCCAAACCTCCAGCACAGCTCAACCGTCGCGAGCGCGGTACTCAGGTCTCGGCAAGGCATTGGCCCTTTCCTCCTTACCCAGAATACCCCATCCCGACTTGTCGCTTGTGTACCCACCGTTAATCTCGGGAATCACCCCACACATCTCGGTAGGGCCATTGGAGCTAGCCGTCCAGGCATTCACTTCCATCGGTCCGATAAGGAACAACTTTTCCCAAGCCATGCTACGAGAATGCTCTTAATCGCCTCTGAGGCTCCTTCCTTGCCCCATATGCAGTGGTCCCCCTGCTGTCTGCCGACAAGCAGCCGCCCCGCCTGAAGAGGTTTCACATCCCACCTGGGCAAGGTCATCGAGCCATGCTCGGACAACTCGGGTGAGAATGCTACTAATCAGCCGACGAGACCAACCCTTGCCTGACAGTCCGGTGGCCCGACCCCCACACACGGAACCCGGTGAACTTCAAAGAGGACGACCAGTTCGCATCCCGCACCGGCCGACGCAAACCAATCCTTTCCTTCCGAATGGCAGGACGCTCGAAATCCCAATCATGCAATCACAAGCCCCAAGTGGGACACACATAACAAAAGTGCCTTTCCCCTGGTGCACCCAGCGCTTCCTACCCTTAGCTCACAAATTTTCTCTCAGGACAGCCTGTGCCACTCACCCGTGCTTTCCATACATAGTGCCCGGTTCCTTTTCATGAGCATCTTCAAGGGGGAGCTAGTTTTCCCTGGAGTCTAGCAACTCCGTTCATTCCCTTCATCTTCACTTGTGTGTCCGTTCATAGGGCAGGATTGTTCCTTCTCGATTACTGTTTGTGTTCATATGAGGTTCCTTCAAGCATTTAAGTGCGGTGCGCGGAGCCCACTGGGCTCCAAAGAGAAGCAGAGAAGCACCCAGGTCGGTCGGATCACTCCGCCGCGGGATTTTCATTGGAACCCGGACTGGCCCGGAATCCCAACCGCCTGCCAGGTAACCGGAGGCCTTCTTTCACACGAAGAGGAAGGGTCAACCTGCGGCTTGCCCAAGGCTTCCCCGGCCTGACGAACATCGGTCCAAGGGAAGGAGGACTAGAGTCATCTTCAAAGAAGATGGATGAGTAAAAGTGCAAACATGCATGTTCTTCCTCCGGGCCTGGCCTTGCCATGCGCCCAGCCACCCTCAAATCTGATTCTCTCAGAGGATAGAGCACACACAAGTCCAGATTCCTTATCTTTATGTTTGTGTTCTCGGTCATGCGTCGGGCGCCCCCCTCGAGATCGTATGGGTCAATTTAACCCATACCCGGCACCTCCACCATTTTGTCGGGGCCGAACCTTGAAGGACTTTTGAGCCTTGGTCGACCCCACTGCGGGTCCCACTTGGCTCGACCCGCCCACGCTCATTCTCGAGGCACGGGTCGTTCGTCCCAGGGGCACCCCCACCTAGTGCTATGAGATGGATGGGGTTGGGCCAATAGGGTGAGAGAGCTTGACATTGGGGATGTAGCTCAGCCCTCTAGCCGGGTGGTAGCCTCACTGGTCTAGGTCCGCAGGCGTAAGGTTTTCGATTCTCCGTTTGTCTTACCAGGCAATTGCTCCTTCCAAGACTCAGGCAGTCCAGGGAGGTTCATTGAGAGCTTTCTCTTCGTTACGGTGCGTAGGCTAAGCGTTCTCCTTAGGCCACGCACTCCTTCACTAACAACCCTAGTTTCCTATAGCATCATCGGGGCGGCTCGTCCCTCTCCCCCTAGCCCCTATCTTTCCTCTAGTCGGCCTACGCATACATCTCCCAGGTCTCGTGACCGCCCTTAGTCCTTCCAGGCGGCCGTACCAAACTCGCGACCCAGCCACAACCACACATCACGGCAAAGTCAGCCTCTGACCCCATCCCCGACCCTTAGTCTTTTCAGGTCGCGCTAGTCATGCAATCGTCAAAGCCCAAAGTCCATCCCGGTCGTTCGAGATTCAACCCCCTTTCACGCGTTACGGTCCCATGTCGCACAATCCCTTCATTGCCAGATCGTCCAAGCCACTTACCTGCAACACATCCAAATAAACATGACAATGGCATACGTCCGTCCCCGATGGGGTCAACACACCGCCCCTCATGCAAGTCCAAGTCTTCCCTTTCCTTTTTCCATGCTTTTGGGTGCTTTCCTTCCTTCCTCACAATCAAACCACACTCTTCTTACTCAGGCATGCAGTTGAGGAGGTGGTTGAGTCGACTGACCTTGTCCAAAACAACACTCCTTTTTGCTCTCACCAACGTCCTCAATA